ATGCAAATAGATTAATAATTACCAAAATACTATAACTAATATTTAAATTTTAAAGCCAGGCAATTAATTTCTTATCTAAATCATTCAAATGAAAATTACTTCAATTAATTTGAACCCTACCAAATTCATTCCAAACCCATTGAAACATTTTTGTCTAAACTTGATTGTCGTGGTTTTGCACTCTGACGAGATTCCCAGGCATGCATGAAAGATGGCCTGTTCTGGTGGGACTGATAGCTCAGACTTGGAGGATGATGTGGGGATGGCTGAACCAGAACAGTCTCAAGATTCACACACTTTGATAATGGAATGGTTGCTGTAACTGACAGGCATGCACCTGCTCTGAATGAAAGTAGCTCAAGGACACCCACAGCACCCAGTCTCCCTCCTACCTGTGGGGATGAGGCAGATGAAGAACAGGAGCGGGGAAATTTCTCAGATGGAGAACACGAGCCTCCTGAAGATGTGGACCCAAGAGCACACTGACACAGCCTCAGACTGGACTAATTAGGGGCTCAGAATGCAGAATGGAGTTGTATACGTTTTCACAGCACCCTTCCTTTCAGAGACCGGCCCTAAAGGGCTCATAAGCAAAGCTTTGGGTAAAGGGGGGTAGAGAGGGGTCAACACTTCTCCTTGTGTACACACAGGGACTAGTGAATGCTTAGATTTCCTGTGCAGAAGAAAACTCTTACAGGAAGTGCTGGAGTGACTGTCTTACTTGGGAGAGGATGGCCCACTCACAACATTGATTGCCATTTAGACAGATGTGTATATGTTGTGCAGCATATGAAAAATACAAATGCATGTAAGGACCAGACCTAGCAATGCATAATTCCCCAACAAACAGATTTTCTCAGGCTGGCATAACTCTCTTTCTATACTTTCCAATGCACCACCCCACAGCTTCTGCATTGGTTGGCTTTGCTGATGACAGTCTGCTGACTATCGGATCAGCAGGAAGTCCCCACCTTTGTCAGGTCCTTCTTCAGATCTATGAATGCCAGAACAACCTCTCCATTATGTGCTAGCACCTCATGTCAATGGTGGTAGTAGTGGAGCACACCTGGAACAAATTTAGATTCACCCATCAGGTTGTGTGTGTGCACAGATTTTTGAAGGGACTCGGATTATCAACCAAAAAAAAAAAATCCTAAACTGTATTGTACTTCCAGTTATGTCTTATGTAATAGAGTAATTACACATAAGTATATGGATATTCTTATTACTAAGTCATACACAGAAAGTCCATTAAAACTGAAGTTACTAGGAAATCAAATAACAAAATATAATTACCTTTCAACATTAATGTATCACACAGCCCTACAATGTTCTTTCTTGATACCAGTAACTGGAGATATTTTTTTTCCCTTCTATTTGCTCTGGAAACAGCATTGAAGCAATGGAGGATTGCATAGTGTGTAATTTTGGTCACTCACTGTTAATATTTTCTTTTGCCCTTTAACTGGTTGTTAGATTCAGAAGATTGGTGGGGTCTTAATTTTGTGACCAGCAATTATAAACAGATATCTTTATGAGACAATTAGTTTAAACCACTTTAGTGGAACTTCTTAATGCTTTTAGTATCTGAGGGTTAGAAACTTGTTCTCCTAGATAACATTTTAAGCACCATCTGTTTATTTGGCCATGAATAAGTTCTAATAAAAGCAATAAAGCTTAAATGGGTGCACAGTATGAAAAAAGGCAATGATATGCCTTTAGAAAGATGAGAGTAATTTGTTTAGTGTAAAGCTAAGAGATAAAAGAATCACTGACCAAAATATATTTTTTTCTTTTAGTGTTAATATCAGAACAAGAAAACACCAATGCCATAAATTCAGATTGTCCTTGAGACTTCACTGCTAATACATTTTAAAAAAAGAAAACCCCCAACACCTCCACCTTCACTAATAGTTCTAAGGGTTTGTCCTTGAATGTCTTGAATCATTACATTATAAGACCTGCAAATAGAACCCTCCCCCCACCCTCTGTAAGCACACACATCAAAACTATGAGCACAGGCATTTTCAGTTCAGTTCCCATTTTCAGTTCAGTTTGGCATCTTTGTGTAGTATGTAGTATGCTTTCACATTGGAATGTTTCCATACAAACACATCCTATCACTAGACACTGCAATTAATCTATCTTTCTTTAACAATTTTTTTTTGTGGGGGGGGGTGAGAAAAAAGGCAGGAGAAAGAGTGGGGGGAAAGGAAAGTTACAAATGGATGATGATGGCCTTCTGGACCCCTCTTGAAATTCTGATTTTGAAAGGTTCAATTCTTCAGTGAGCTGCTTTGGGCAGATTTTGTTATTTCAATCAGAGTGGCAAAAACGAATACAGGCAGTTAAGGGAGAATCCAGGCATGTGGCAAGCAAAGGGCAACATCCCACATTACACGTAGGCAAATCTGGATTTTTTTTTATTATTATTATTATTACATTTCGATTTGCCACAGAATGCATGCTCAGGAAGCATAGCTGCCTGACAATCATACCTGCAGGATGCCCAACTCCACCTTGCTCATGCTTGATATTTCAGGGCCCACCCCTTCTTTATATGGACCAATTAGTGTCCCACATAGACGGCCACTGTGATATCCAATTTAGTCTTCAGTTGTACAACAAGAAAAAGCAATTTATGAATTCAACGTGGGTTTCTTGACCAATGCAGAACTTGCACAAGGATTCTTGTGTGGTGGGGGCTCCTTTTACCTGCCCAGGGCAGCTCCATGCAGCACCCTAAAAAGTTATCCTGGGTGCTGTCTGGTGCACAGGAAAGGCCTGGGGTGTACCAGGGTGACTCCAGCAGAAAAGAAGACTTGAAAAATAGGTGGAGGCGACTTCTGCAAAGGTGGCCTGATTGTTGGGAGATGCTTTCAGGAGGGCACAGGGGTGTGGAGGTATGAGGAAATTTCTTTGAATTAACATCCTTTCTCTCAAACTGCATAGGAAAACTCAATTTTTGGAAAGCATTCCAGGGACTCATAGGCAGAAGGATTCATCTCAGAAAGACTGATGAAGTACCAGGGTTTATTGCCATAAACAATTAATAACTGAGAGTTGTGGGCATGCATTAGACTGTGTCAAACTACTTACATTCAGGGCTTGGTATTATACACATTCCTGAAAATATTCAAAAAGTAATGTTTGCCACGGTGCCATAGAGTATCCTCTGCCAACTTGGAATTGACTTTTAACATTAATTTTACCAAAGTGAAACCTTCACTTAGGTTCTTCTCTTCATATGGGACCTCTCCTGAACTGCCTGGTGAAAACCAGTGTAGCAGTGGGTGCACACAAAGTGCAAATTCTAACACAGTGAAGGGTGACATATACATATTTATACATGGCAGAGAGCCAACACAAATGAAGCTGTGGGATGGGTGAAATGGCCTTGAGTGGTGCAGCTGAGTGAGATGGTATGGAATATGGTGATAAACACAGAATAAGGAATGGAGAGAAAGAAAAGAAAGCGTGTTGTAAGGTTGCGCCCTTGTTCAGACCAGAGAAAACACATGGAGACAGGTAGGCCCAGAGCAAGCAGGAAGCAAGCGGATATGTGTTTGTGTTTGACCTATCAAGAACAGTTTCTGCATAGCTGTGGTGCCAGAAGGGTTTGACAGTTGGCCAGCATACAGCAGTGTCAGGAGGATTGTGCTGTCTGTTTCATAAATCTAGAGGTCTTTGCTCAGGGCTTTTGGAGGACGTGGATCATGGGATGTAAGGGATTTTTCAAGGCTTCACAAAGGAGGAAGCTCCATCACAGTCAGTCTATGAATTTTTTTCTGCCACTTGATCCCTCAGCTGATTCCTTGCTTCCGCCAATAGGATGTCAACTGTAATTTTCATGAAAATGGAGCTCAGTGAATACAGATACAATTAAAATTGACAGTAAAATGATTAAAGAAGACTCAAAGCTATACAACTTTGCACTATACCAGAAACATCCCATTAATCTTCTTATCTCGTGGGGCTGAACTTGGTGCCCCTTTCCAGACTTGCTGTTTCATTCAAATGACAGAATTCTCTCTGAAGAAGGTTTAATTTGCTGAATATTTAAACAGTCAAATATTCTTTTGACACTTTGCATGACTGAAGTTGTCAGTGTCTGTAAGAAGCAAGGTAGCAAAAATCTACATATTGTATAGCAGTTATTTTAGTCTTCAGCATCTTACAAATGTATAAGACTTTTGCAGCCTGATCCTAAGCAAGCTTCCCAGGAGTAAGTCTTGCTCAGCTGCATTGGACTCAGTTTCACATAAAACTGCATAGGAAAGCAACTTTAACTTTGAATGAAGAATCACTACAGGGTGAGGGAAACAGGGACAGTGGTAGGTAACCACCAACAGGGCAAAATTAAAAATAACATACACACATTTGTTCTTTCTTTTTCTTTCTTTCTTTCTTTCTTTCTTTCTTTCTTTCTTTCTTTCTTTCTTATATTCTGCCTATTCCACCAACAGCATCCCTAGGGAGCATATAAATATTCTAATTTATTTATGCTCTAAAGTCTCTGTGTGCCTTTCAAGGACTCTGTCATCTATGGACATGCCTAATTTGTTAGATGGAATGTATGGTCAGAGGAGATCTGATTTCAGGAAAAAGCCCTTAAGCAGAAAGGGCTGGGAGCTGCAGGAGCACTGGCGGGGCACATTGGCAAAAGCCAGCAAATCCAGGACTCTGCCCCTTTAGTTCAGAGCATGGGTCCTCAAACTATGGCCCACGGGACGGATCCGGCCCACCATGGCCATCCATCCGGTGCACGCTACTGTTCACCACCCACGCGTGTGCGGGGAGGTGGTGGTTTGCTCGTTCGGAGATGGCCTCCAAGCGAACAAGCAGCTGCTGCCGCCTGCCTCCTGTACATGCGTGCTCACCACTGCCTCACAGTGCAAGCGGGGAGGCGGTGGCTCACTCACTCGGAGATGGTTTTGGACTTGCTGGGAGATCTCCGAGTGAGTGAGCCACTGCCGCATGTTCCCGATGCTGCCTCGCCCATGTCCGACGGCACCTCACCAACCAGTGCCCCCAGGCACTCTCACCTCAGCGGCCTGCGATGCAGCCTTTTAACTGGCCCCTACTCAAAAAGTTTGAGGATTCCTGGTTCAGAGCATGCTGACAGGCAGCAGGTGGCGAAGCCAATGGCTTCCCTGAGATCTGGGGCTCCCAAGGTCCCTAAGGTAAGATTCCAATCTTGCTTCAGGAAATTACCAGGATTTAATTAGCCTAAGGATAAGGGAAAACCTATTTCTGATACTGCATTGCAGTTGTTTATACAAGGCCCACAATAGCAATAATTGTTTGTTTATTAATTACGAGTTGTCAGCTCCAGTGGATATGCTATATCTCTCTTTAGCCTGATAATACTGCTCGAATACAGGAAAATCATTATAACAGGGTAAAGTGAGCCATTGCCATATAAATGTCAAGAATGTTATGAATAATTATGCACTTCTTTTGTGGGGGGATGAATTTATATTGTATCACCCAAGTGGATCCTAAGTTGCACTTGTCATGTTGGATTAATTTCAGACTTATCTCCAAAAGAGCCTTTGAATTTTTGATCAAATTCTTTTTAATGGACTGCAGCATGATACATATTGTACGATTCAAGGTGGAACAGGTGGTTTAAACACACCAACAGCTGAGGCCCTGCTGGATATTGGTTGTGCCCAAGAATTTCCCCCAAAGGCCATTGGTTTCATGCTCTCCTGATGCTTTTATTTCATGTCTCCTACTTACAATGAGAAGGGGTGTTCACTCATATTAGAAAAAAAATCACAGGATGTCCTGGTTTTGGCATTAACCTCAGACAGAACGGAGCAGATAGAATGGGAGTATGAAAATTGGCTGAGGGTTGATTTCTTTTCAGGAAAAAATCAGATGAGAAAAACAAGTTCCAAGTCTCTTTAAAGCTCAGCACAAGCTAACTATGCTCCCTAAGCTAACATGGGATCAATAAATATTTGCTCAGGTAAAACAATAGTTTAAAGCATTGTCTACTAAGCCAACATTAGGGGTTGGATTGATAGGTAAGAGGCAAATAGGTGAGCAATAAACCAAAAATCATGCTGCCAGACACTTTCTACACATAGAATTACAATTAATTTGAAAATCCATATTAGAAAGTGCAATCCCTTCATTAGATTCACTAAAGGTCTTAAAATAGTATGCAAGCTTTCAACGTCTCCTGACTCTTTCAGCAGGCAAGATGGTAAATAAAATGAAAGGAAAAAATGACTGATGTGGACACCAAGGAATCTGCATCTCATTACAAATTTAAGTGAGAATCTGGGAGAAGGTGTCGAGATGGTTTCAGGTCAAAGTGACAAGGGATGCTGCTATGAAAACGTCTGCATTGTTCTAAAGGTGTGGCATTAGGAAGCCAATATGCCTGCAGCCACCCTTGCTCAAAGACCAAGACCCACACGCTTGCCCACACACATTCAATGGTGCACCGAGGGGAGTCTTTGTCCCCTTGTGAGCCCCCTCTCTTATCTCCCTCTGGTTGGTCAGCCTGAAGAATTTGGCTTGAGGAAGCCTTCTGCTGAATGTCACTGAGCATGCTTTCTCCTTATCATCCTGTCCTGTGCTGTGTGCTCCACTTGTGACTTCTCATTCCAAACCAGTCAAATATGGACTAGGCTGAACTTTGACAGACCCTCCCCCAATCTGAACAGTGCAGACTAGCTGAGGGGAAAAGGCCATTTCCAATGCCAGCTAGGGAAAACAAACCTCAAACTCAGACTGAAATGGCTACTGACACAGATTGAAATAAGGCTGTTGGGTAGAGTGCTGTAGGTGATGAAAAATCAAATGCAGCAAGTGGTGCTATCTTAAAAAGTCTCACTGTGACATTTTCATAGTTGCTGTCCTGCACGGGTCTGTTTGCCTCTTCCTTCAGACCAGCAAGCTGCTATTCATACTGTTTTTCACTAAGGGAACAGAATGAACCTGATTCAGCCCACATTTGTGAGAATGCCATTACTTTAATACCATCTCAGTTTAATTTATGACATACCTGATAAGCTGGACACCAAGGATGGGTTAAGTTTATATACAGATATATATTAAACTATTTATAAACCACCTTTCAGCAATAAGGCCCTTGTGGCGATGTACACAAAATATATCAAAGCCCTTAAATATAACAAAGTTTAAAAGCTGAATCCTAAAACCATTGAGAAGAGTAAAATGAATGGTCATTGCTTGAAAAATCAACAAATACTTGGTGGAACTAGAATGTTTTTACCTGTCAAAAGTGAAACAATGAAGTTCCTAGTTTGACCTCCCTAGCAAGTGTCATACTTGGGGGCTTGCATAATTGGGGTGTTATATAATTAGGGTTTGTCTGTCATGCTAGGCTGCCTAGTGTCTTTTGGCACTGGAATATGTAGCAGGGCCTCAGACAAAGCCATGGGCAGGTTCATATGGGAGAAGAGATCATTTGAATATCCTGATTTCAAATCATTTGGACTTTACAGGCAAGTACTATTGCCTTGAACTGAGCTGTAGAAGCCATGGCAACTGACCAAGATTGGAAGCAAGTGGAACTGATATAAGATTAGTATGTGTTCTATAAAGTGCACACCAGAAAGGAGGCTGGCTACACTATTTTGCAGAAGCTGCAGTTTCTCGGCGTTCTTTGAGGGCAGCCCTGCATACAGCATGCCGGGATAGTCTAAATAGAAAGTGACTATTGCATGCATCACTGTGGCCAGATCTGTCCAGGAAGGGGCCCGAGTGGCACACCAGCTGAAGTCAGACAAAAGCACTCAGGGCCGCGACCATCACTTAAGCATCCAGCAGCAAAGTTGGATTCAGGATGGAATACTGCAAGCTCCTTACCTAATCCCTCAGAGGCAGTGTGACATGATGTATAACAGATTGTCCCCCTCATCCAGTCAGTTATTGCATCAAGGTGACATGTCAGTATTTCCACAGTTGCCTTGGTAGGAGTGAGGCATTTTATTAGCCCAGTGTTGAGATGAAATTCTCCCAGTAGCTTTATGGAGATGTTAAAGAGCAAACTTTGAACATATTGTGGGCCATTTGTAATTAATAATACTCCAGACAGAGGTAATTTAGCATGCAGTGCATGTATATATAAGTTATGAAACGGTATGTGTGTGTCCATATCCATACCATTTATCTCAATATAGATATAGATACGGATATCTATCTATATAGTGATACTGATACAGACAGTTATAGATGATATAGATATAATTAGTAGACTTTTGACAGTTTATGCCACAAACAGGCCAGATCCAAATGATTTTAAAAGGGCTCTTAATGGCAATGATGTCAGTTTAGTCACTTGATTCTTGGTAGCTTTGCATTGGCAGTAAAGACATGTATTTGCCATTTTTCCATTTAGCAAGAATAAAGGCCAACCTGTGACCAATTAGTCATACTTAAATGTGATTGGTGACATTTTTGTTCCTGAACTCTTGGTATAAAATGGTTGTTCAGGAAATGACTAGTGAGAAAGATAAGGAATGTGGTTATGCTACTGTGAATTTCACCTTATAGCCGAGTTTCATAAAACAAAATAAAAGAAATGATCAGGTAAATATATTAAATGTTTCTCTTTGGAAAATGAAGCACTGTTTGCCTTAAGAAAATTAATATGGGTTTTTCTTGCTGTTTCTTCAGAATAAATGTTGTATTACTTGTCTGGATCTCAACAATGCATGTGTGGACATGTTACCCTATTGTCCCTTCTGCAGTAAGTGACAAACTTTACTTAACTAGATATATACTATGTGAATATTTTCTAAAATATCATATTAAAAAGCATTATCAACATTAGTTAAAGAACATGACTGACAAACTACGTCAATTTAATATCAATACAACTTGCTATATTGAGCAGTTTTGTATGTCTACTAAAATTATAACAACCTTTTGCTTACTTTCCATGGATTTAGATTTTAGTTTATGTGGAGTAGGTGGTTCCAGTGACTGAAGCATAGGACTAAAAATTAAGTTGGTGAATGTAGTAATTTGATTTAGTTTTGATTCTCCTTTATTTCATTGGTTGTTTTCAGTAAAATGAGGCACACAACCCTACTGAAATTTAGTCAGCAGTAAGTCCTATAGAGTTCAATAAAACTTACTCTTGGGTAATTCTGTATCGGATTGCTGCCTAGCACAAAATGGGGCCTTTTCAAGAACTTGGTAGAAACTGTGCCTGACTAAATAGGACTACATTGTAAACATCTATTTACTTAAAACTTGAGAAAACCTATTGTATAAATAACATCGAGTATGCTTATTATACTGTATACTGATCTGAAACTGCATGTCTTTGCTTCTGGTGTCATATGAATAAGGGTCCAATCCTATGCATGTTTAGACAGAAAATGGTCCTACAAATCTCCAACCATGCTGTGGAACTTTTTTTCTGTCTATACATACATAGAATATATTCGAAAAGTTGAGATCATAAATAGTAGCCAAAGGGCTTCATTTGGGTCAGAACTGAGAGTGCTAGACCAATTATTTCTCAGAGTTAAGGCCCAGAGATGTTAAACCAGTAAATAATATCCAGATAATGACTGTTGTGTGTTATTGTGCATTATTGATGTTGATGTGTCTTAAAACAGAGTGCTAATGGCTGGAAAGGTAACTGCATAATCTCACCTATAGACAATTGGCTGCATTTGCTCAAACATGCAGGGGGAAAAAGCCATGGTGGAGGTTCCAGAGTTACTTATTTACCATGGCAACAAACCAGTCAGGCTGCATTTGGAGATTGTGTTAATCCGTGCTGCTAAGGGTAATCATACAAACCACCTAAACCAACCACCATCACTTATTTCTGTCCCTGCGATAATGCAAATCAAGTTCACAGAGATTTACTTCTAAGTATGTGTGCCTGGAATTGTAGCCTTAGCTAACTGTAGTTTCAATTTATGCAGATTGTGTAGGCATCCTTAAGTGTTTTGCATTACTGAAAATAAATTGATCTCCTTCATGCCTGAGATGCTTTTACTTCTGCAAACCAAGCTATGGACTGCAGAGTTATATTGCTATATGAAACTAAAGAGTTTATTTTGACAGTTTCTGAGATAATGAGAACTGAGAATATTTCTAAACACCTTCAAGATGTTGTCTTGGTACTCCACAATGATGCTCCATAAGATGTGAACATTTTAAGTAAACTCTAACAAAAGAAAAAAAAAAGGGTTCATTTACCACAACTTAAACTGCAGTTACCCATGAATTATTGGAAATGGTGTACCCAATGTTGTACTTGGTGTTCTCCAAATTATATTTTACATTGATAACTCTGTGATGTAAATGACAGTGAGAAACGTAATGGAGGCTGAGTAAGAATGTGAATCTAATCTCACATGCTCAGCTGAATGGGTGGATACGAAGAATTCCTTTCTCCTGATGGGAAGTCCTGAGCTCATGAAAGGACTTCTTCCTCTTTTTTTTTATAGAAATTTTATTAGGATTTTAAAACTAAAACTACAAACAACAATCATCACACACACCGGATTTACTGGATCAGCCCCCTACTACATATCTTTTAACATTCTATGATCATACTAGAATCCATTTATAATAACTTGAAAACATCGTTGGATCAAAACCAGGTCCCGTTTCTCCAGCCAATAAAATAATAATAATGATAATAATCCAAATTTGATAGAAGTCACTATCTTCCTCTTCTTCATCCATGAAATCAGTCTCATTATTTCCTACAAAGTCCTATTTCTCTTGAGCAATGTCAAAGGGAAGCATCTCCAAGTTAAATGAAATTGGAATATTCTCTTTCTCCTTCAGTGGTAAGTTTGGTCTAAACATTTCTGGACAATTCAAAATCTTTTCAATTTTCTAATAGTAAATAACTTCCTCACTTCCACAATTACATGTAAACATCAAAAATATCCATTTAACATCTCTACAATTGTCTTAACTACTCTACTTGGTGATGAGTAATACTTATAATATCTTTTAGAACATTTTTCTTTAACCTAAATTACTAATGTTTCATCTCACTTAAACACCATTTAATCAAATATGGTTAGCTCCATATAAAAGCCCAGGTGTTTACAGTCTAACATATATCATCAACAACAGTAACTTATTAGAAATACAGTCAAAGATATCCATTTAACAATAATACCTTTTAAACAGGATTTCATTAAGCTAAATTGCTACTACTTCACCAGCAATAATAGGTTAGTCTTTCTACATCACATGTAAGCATATCAAGCTATATAAATCACCTTTTTTTTTTTTTTTGGAATGGAAAGAAAGAAATTTCCCTTATCTTCCCTTTGCACCCCTGCCAAGTTTACTTTTTCTTTTTCTTTATCCCTCTGCCAGACCTTTCTGTTTTTTTCCCATTAAACCACCGTAATGTCTGTAATGGAGTCTTCAGTTGCAGCCACATAAACATAACCTCTTTTAAGTGGTCAGCTAAATTGTCCTTCTCTAAGATGACACGCAGATCCCATGGAAGTTTGCTTCTTAATGGCTGTGTCTTGAGTTGTGACCAAGCTGTCTTCTCCTTCTCCATCATAGCATGCAGATCAGTTGCACTTATTTTCTTTCCAGTTTCAGATTTTCCTTCTGCTTGTTGGATATTTTGCATATTCTGTTCAGGTGCGAGTTGCTTGTCTAAAGCCTGATCAATAGAAGTGCTGAATTTATCAAAGCCACTTTTTTGTTCAGTTAAAAAACAATCAAGTCACTCTAGAACAATCTTCTGTCGTATTATTATCACCTGTTGGAATAGTTGCACAGCTGTTAAAGAAGCCTGCATTTTGAGAAATGCCTTCTGAATTTCTTCCATAGTAGCAATAGATTAGCAAGGCTTGGCAGGTGTCCAAAGAACCCCAGAACAAAGAGAAAAATGGTCGCCAATTATTGGCAGTAGTCCAACACAGATGAATAAAAGAAAGATCCTCTATTACTCAGTTTCACAGCACAATTATTCGCCCTTGGAGAGATAAAAGAAGATAAATCTTTTTCTTACTTACAAAAAGTTCTGTCTTTCTCTCCGTTATGCAATTTGCCACTTTTCAACTCTGTGGGGGGGAGGTTTCATTCCCCCTCCATCCGAAGGGCTTTTTAATTAGCAAGAAATACAGCTTATTCCACGGGTATCATTGCAGAGAAAAGAAACAAAAATATGTTCCAATAGATCCAGAGTGTTCACAAAAGCTAAAACAAAGCTAAAAAAGGTAGTATGTCAAGAATTTGTAGAGGGCAGCTCTCCATCCGGTAATACCCAGCTGAGAAAGCTTGATTTCCTCCCACTAACTGTGGAATTGCCATTCCACATCATCTGGAGGATTCGCCAAGCAATCAATCTCAGCTCCTACAGAGCTTAGATTGAGCCCCATGGCCCACCACTGGGCAATTACCAGCGTGATAACAGAGGTTCGTTAATCACGTCTGTATCATTCCGACGCCAAACTTCTTCCCAATGCCATACTTCTTCCCTGATGCCATACTTCTTCCGAAAGGACTTCTTCCTCTGAAGTAAGTTCCTTCTGCTGCTGGCAGGGAGACTTTGGGGATGGCACATTGTATTCATTAATATGACAGGCTAGGCTCAGCAGGGTCTGAACTATACCATGTGCTGGGTGATGTTTTCATGGTATAACTTCCTGTTCAGGGGTTGTCAAGTTAGAGGAACCCATCGACCATGGATTATTTGAGGGTTAAACAATTCTTGCATAACTTTACAACAATCCACATGTTATGCAAGGATTAATTCTCAAATAACCTCTGCTGACTGCGTTCACAAAGCTTAGCAATCAGCCCTTCTGTCAGAGGGTGCATATTCAAAATACTGCCCGGCATGCAACATGGTGCACTGAGGATTGAATGTGCTGTGCAATCTGGATCACTGTAGTGTGTTTCTACAACCTTTCCTTCTGTGCTAATTCCCTAACGTATACACTTCCAAGTTGCTGTTACCTCTGAAGGTATTACATTGTACCTGTGTCACTGAATTAGCTTGAGGAGGTAAATTAACTCCATCTATTAGCACCTGCTTTTAGCAAAATAAAAAATTTGGGAACCAAGCTAATTCTAGAACAGGTCGTTAGGTTGTGACACTTGTTGTACTTATTTTTAGGTAGTTGTGCTGACCCTTTCCCTCCTCCAAATAATTATTTTAATGGGATACTTCAGCATCCCATTCTAACCATAGTGTTGTGCAACCAGTCATGCATAAGAGCATTTTTAAAAACAAGACTAGAAGTGGGTTAGGGCAATTGTGCCTGAACATTTCAGTGATGATGAAGATGATGATGCTCTGCATCCAAAAATGAAATCTTACACCAAAACACATTCCTGTGTATATTTACTGCAACAAGTAGGGGGATATTACAACACCCAACAGTGGAATAACACAGGTGCTAGCTGCATTTATTAGCCCCAAAGGCCCCCCTAGTGCCCAGTCTTCATATATTGGATACAGTTTAATTGCAAGCACACAATATGCTGCAGCAATCAGCTGCTCCTGAATTTCTTTGGACCAGAGTCAAAGATGTAGTGAAATGAATTAACTACCTGTGAATCAAAAGAAATTACCATTGAAAAGCAGTTAAATTGGTTGGAACGACTATCAATGCTTTGCAATGCCCAATTAGAACATATTTTTATTACAATGATTAAATTATGTTTTTGCATTTCTGACAGTTGTAAGAAGATATTGTACCATTTTAATCATTCATTTTTAACCTCTCAGGCCTTAATGTTATTGTCACAAAAGAATCACCTGCAGGCATTTCTGATTACAGCTTTCTCCTGAGGACCTTTCCACACAGTTACTGTACTGCTCCCATCCACCTAAAGAAGTTTCTCCTCTCAGGTTAGGGCATGCTCTAGAGATCTAAGAGCGGATGGGCTGTAAAGCACATATGCTGTGTGCAAAAGGTTACAGGTTCAAAAGATCTTTGGATAATGCTGGGAAATGCTCTAGGGTCAAACTAAATATGATGCTCATTGTGCATTAAGGTGTGCGTCCTGTAAACCTGCACCCTGTGACTGCCTTTATAGAATCTCCTGGACCAGAGAAGATATATGCAAGCTTGTCTAGACACATTAGTTGCACTGAACCTGAATGCTACTCCAATCTGGAGTATTTGACATGGAGAAAAAGAATAACCAAAACAGACTTTTTAGAAATGAAAACAATGGCTAAACATACCTCTAAGTTATCTAATCCAGCTCTGCACTAATGGCGATTTCATAGAGTCTGCCTTAAAACCATGCTTCCAACTGAGTCAGACTTATGAGTAATAGCATCTTCCCAGACAGGTGATCTCTCACACAGAACCCCACGCAGGAGAAGCCTCTCAGTTTCAAATGGAGAATGTTTTCTTTTGCATCTTTTAGGGTGGATTACTGAAGGTTTAAGGGGCAGAAAATGAATGTATGTCAATACAGTGATGTCCCTTTACTACTGTCAAGGCATTTATCAGGTGTGAAGGATTCGTGTTATGTTTTAATGGGTTGAGGGGCTGCTAGGACCCTGGGACATACCTGCTATTCCTGAAAAGTGACTGATCCTCCTCCTCTTATGGAAATCTCAAGGTCATGTTTCAATTTGTAGAAGCACGTGAGAACTGTGCTCTAAAAAAGATTTTAGAACCAATTTAGTTTGGTCCTGTTTGCATGCAGGAATTATCATCCTTTCCCTTCTCCCAGGATATCGATTAGATTCAGCTATTTTTATTAGCTTTGTTTCTTTACAGGTTTTCATTGTAAGAACATGAAATGCTAAGTGTATTCATTGTATCTGTCTTCCATATTTTCACTGTTTGTCTTTTACATATATTTTAAGAAGTTCTGTTATAAATTATTTATGAATGCTCTTATTGCACCTCTAGAAAGCTAGATTTATTTGCATGAGCCATGTTGTGGCTGTAAAGAATCACTGGAAGGAAGTCAGATATAGGTTTTGCCAGAAGACCTGGAGATGTAGAGTTCATTGTGAGGAACTTTGGAGAGTGTTGGTGGGACAGGGCTTAGCTTTTAACTCATGAGCTCTAAACTACCAACTCAGTTGACAGGTTAAATACAACCTGATGTATACTTACCTCTATGTAAGTAGAATCCAAATGAAAACCAGGGTGGTATAGTGGCTAGAGAGTTTGACTGGCACTGAAGAGATCTGAGTTTTAGTCTCCATCCAACCATGAAATTCAGTGGGTAACTTTAAGTCAGCCACTGACTTTTATAGGGCTGTTGTAAGGATAAGGAGGGGAGAGGAGGGGGATTCTGTAAATTACCTTGGGTTTCTTGCAAGTGGAAAAAAGCAGGACATAAATGTATGAAATCAATAAATACTCTGGTTGCTTTCAGTGCTTATGCAGCATTGGGAATCAGGAAGGCCAGGCAGTTGCCAAGATCCTATGGCTCAGGAGAGCCTGTGGATTCAGGAGGGGCCATTCCTACTGATCTCAAAGAATCTCCATTCTCACCACCACCCATCCAATGGAGAGCTGCCTCAACAAGAGAAAGCAGCCAGTATAGCTCTTCAAAGAGCTGACTAGACTCTAAGTAAGCTTGGTATTGTAGGGACTGGAAAAGCTTCCTAGCATATCTTCTATGCTAAGAGTGATCTCCCAGGCCCTCTGGAACAGCTTCTTGACTTCTGTTTAAAAAGGGAAAACATAGGACAGGTGGCTGCTTAGGAGGAAAGGTTTCACAAGAGAACACCCATGGCACAGGTGTTCTCTTTGGAAACTTTACCAGTCAATGCCTGATTCTAAGGAAGGTTGCCATTAGAGCCAGGCACTGAGTGTATCCTGAATATGCAGCAATGAATGGAGCGGTGCTAAGATGGCGAGTGGACAGGGTGGGGGTGATGGAAGCAGGGAGGATGCTTTAGCAGTACCAGTTCTGGGAGATGGAACAGATGCAAGGAAGAGGGCAAGTCAAGTAGCAGCTCTTAAGTGAAGGCCCTGAGCTTAGTCAGGCATAAGACTATAACATCTGCTGGTCTGCATTTCCTTCCCGTCTCCTGTTCAACAAGTTGCTGAACCAAGCAACTTCTGGTTCATAGTGGTTGGGAGGAAAAAGTCCACTTGGACCTGATGCTGGCATTGCCACAAATATCCCACTTCCTTTCGCAGGAGAAGGTTCACTGTTTTCTCTTGCTGCTCAGCGTTTTGCTTTGGGGAAGACAGATAGTTGAAGCAATGCACTCAACCAATGACTGGGCATCTGTCAGCACTGTCTAAGCCTAAATCAAGATTAAAGTAGTCCAGAAATTGGAAGCTGAGAATGGAAAATGTGTATAAAATTTAATACAAGTTTGCATAATATGTGCTGATGATAGATTAGACAGTTATTTAGAAATAATTACTAGAATTCCAATACAAATTCAATACATCTTGCCATAGCGGGGAAGACTGACCAGGGGACCTGTGTACTTTCTCAGTCTGCTGTCCAGGTGCAAAGTGTTGATTGGCCACTTCAAAGTCCCTATTCTCCCTCTGCATAGTTCTTTGACTTTAAACCAGACTTGACCTTGACTCCTCCACATGATAGGGAATATGTACCCTTATGGATCTGAGGTTTTGTTTTTATTTTTAAGAGGGAGGCCCAAATTCCAGTCTGTTTACCAGCTTACCTGAGTTCAAATGGTGGCTTTAAGAATGTGGTGGATATATATTTTGGTAACCCTTCCTGAGCCCCTAAAATAGCATGGGAAAAGACGAAATCGCAGGTTTCCCACGAAGTACCACTGATCTACAGTGAGGCTTTGGCCATACAAAGGTTTTCCCTGCAGCAAGAATGGAATAAATGCCAGATGGTTAGATGCAACAATAAAATTAAATCTAGCAACTGACTCAAAGGAAAACCAGAACAATGGAGTCCTATTAAAGTTACATTGAAAATGGCTTGCTTCTGAGCACTTCTTCTACAAAATCATCAATCCTTCCAGGTAAGTCATCATATCCATGGCCCTCACCCAACATTTTATATCCCAAAACTAGGACTAATACAAATTCAATCCATGTCTTTTTAAGCCTAAATGGGTATGGGTGTGTGTGTGTACATGTGAGCATGTGCACCTGCATCTGTCCAAAATGTATAAATCTGTAACACAGCTTGTCCTTATCATTTTTTTTTAAATCTTCAGAGCAATAATCCTTTTTATTTGTATTGCCAGCTGTCTGGGAAATCTGATTACTGTCTCCTCCTGCTGAATAGTTGCCAAGCCCAGGTGGATGGGTCCAAAGAACTGGCATTGTTAAAGCCTTTTCTGGAGAAGACTTATATGAAAAGATCCTTTCGGAATGGTGTTGGATCAGGAATTAAAAAAGTGTCTTTTCGAAGAGCCAAGGCATAAACAAGTGCCTGAAGAAACATCCACAGATCAGAATGTATAGTTTAACTGGATGTGCTTAAAATTGTTTGTAATGCATTTTAGATGATGAATGAAACCAATAGAGACAAATATATCAGTGTGTTCATAATGTAAACAGATGTTTATTTTAAATGGTGCAAGCCAAGTGAAGCAAATGTGGTTGTTCAGAAAAGGCATTTCTTTCAAAATTATATCATGCATTTTTCACTGGTATAAAAAGTGTTTTGAGTTTAATTCCACCTGTTATAGATTTTATGTCTTAACACAAATTCCATAGCAGGTTTGAACATGTTCATTTGAAATGAGTTGTGAAGAAACCATCTTAATAATCTGCATGCGCTTATCGCTAGTATATAGAAGCACATTTTCATTTAGTTTTGTTGGCATGATTCTCATTTAAATGCTAACACTTTGCTACAATCTCATTCAGAGAAAGCATTGGACATTAGGATGAATGGGAATTGCATGGGGATCTATGGAATAGACCGTGTGAGTTCAGAAAGCAAGGGGATCAGGAGACGAGGCTTTCCATTACACAATGCCTCCAAGAAAGTATTGTAAATTAAATTCTGTACAATGCCAGGCACAATCCGATGAAGCTGCTTGTAACTGTCTGAACTCAGAGCATCCTGTGCATGGCCTCTGCACTTCTACCATGCAAAACTCTTAGGTGGTTGATTTTGGTTGTGTGGGACCTCAGAATAAAAAGAGAGGAGAATGAAACACCAGCAGGATATTGCATGTGCTGGAGCCTGTTTCCTCCCCTCATCTGTTCCCGAAAGCCTTTTGTCAAGGTCACTCTTGTACAGTTGGAGCAGTTTTCTCAGGAGGAGGGTGCTCTGAGTTCAGAGGTCCAGCTTGAAGTAAGTTTCCAAGGTCAGAACTGGGACTCCAAATTATCCTATGGCTATCTGGCTTCTACCTAGATGGACACAGGATTGCAATACCTACTGGCATTGCAGTGACCCCTGTGAAATAGCTTCAAAGCATGTGCTAGTCAAGGGATTCCTCCTGAAAACATTGTATGGTGCATATTCCCATTTACAAAAATGTTATATTAAAATGAGCCAAATGTTTTATCCAATCAGCTTTGTTTTCTTTTTTCAAAGATATGGTTGTGGTATGATAGAAATGAGTCTATTTTTCTCTTTAGGGCTTCCTTTTCATTTTCTTTGCTGTACAAAAAGCTGGTTAGCTCTGCAGTCTCAAAACATTGTAGATTTTGTCAACAAGAAAAGGTCATCTGCAGAGATGCATTATTTGTGTGACTTTTACCTTGTGGCCATTTCCTTAGAGAAGTGATGTAACAAACTACATGCTGACATAAAGATGTTGTGAAGGCATTTGATGAAATATATTTTGAATGTAAAGCCAAAAATTAATAATTGTATAGGGTAGTTTCAAAAGTTTCATTTAAGCATCGCAGAGAAGGAAGTTTTGTTAGTAAAACTGGATGTGGAAAAGGAATGATACAATTAATTTGTATGAAGTGCAATAAAAGAACAGTACAGCTAAACAGTGCTATTGTATGTATAAAACTGATGCATGCATGCCATTATGGACAGTTTGTGGTAGAAGACACCAACAAAAGAGGCAAGTTTCTATTAGACATGGAGCGAATTTGGTAGAATCTTAAGTCCATATCTAGCATCTAAATCTCAGCCATATTCACATTAGCTTGAATGTCTATTTTGATCCTAAAATTACTTCAAATCCATATTTAGAAGCTATGTATTTTCCCATTAAAAATAATACAAGACAGCCAGGTTTGACCTTAAAAATCCTGCTATTGCCCAATTTGGGGCCCATCAAACCACTTGTAATATAAAAATGAATAAAAGGTTGCCAGCTATAGGTTTTGAGTGACGGCTCTTTTGGCCCTAAGAGGGCAAAATTCCTCTCTAAGCAGTCTCAAGTTCAAGATTTTAGAGGGTCCTGTGGCCCCTCTCCCTTACTGGGCCCACCTACTCTTCTTACCACTGTTGTTGCTTCTTTCTTGTTTGTCCTTCCTTCTGGGCTCAGTCACACCAGCTCTTAGACAAAGAGGACAAAGAGGTAAGCCAAACATTCTTCTACCTGCTTTACACAGATGATGTGGTTTTAATTTCTTTAATTAAAATTGGCCCGAGTAGCCTCTTACATCAATTAGGGTAATACTATAGCGAAGAAGCTTTTAATATAAGCCATGCAAAGACAAAAGTAATGGTCTTCAGGAAAAAACCCAAAATATTTTGCTGGAGTATCCTCAGCAACAATGCAGCTCATTTAAATATCTTGGAGTAACTGTCACAGAGACTCTGAATTGGAAAACTCATCCTCAGCATTAAGGATGGTTGGGTCAATTTTATACTTTTTCTATGCAAAGGGTGAACACTTGAGTAACCTGGAAATGAAAATATTTGTTACCAAGGTTGTCCCTCATCTCCTATATGGAGCAGAAGTTTGAGGTTGAGATGGAGAAGAGCTGTTACTAGATATAGCCTCCAGGAAAAGAGTGGGATGTATATCAAAATCAGATCCCATGAGTCATGGCCTCACCTGCCAAATGTAGCCTACAGGAATTTTAGTGACAGTCCTGACAGCAAAGAAAAGAAGAAAAGAAAAAGAAGAGTTGTCAAATTCTTGGCAGGCAAGAACAAAGAAACATAGACATAAACATGTGGCATATAAGCAATTTGTTTCAGTTTGCTTTGGACCAGGATTTACCCAATTTGTGCAAAATGCTGACTGGAACTCAGGTGATCTGGGTTCTAGTCCCTGCTCAGCCACGGAGCCAACTGGGTGACTTTGGGCCAGTCACAGACTCTCAGCCCAACCTAACTCACAGGGTTGTTGTTGTGGGGATAAGATTGAGAGCAGTAGGAGACAGACGTGCCAGTGCTTGTGCAGGAAGGAGGGAGTGATCACGGGTGCACTCATGCAGAGAAGGCGAGTGTGATTGTGGCCATCTCCCCCCACTCCCCCAAGCACGATCGCAGCCACCCACCCCCAAGCATTACCGTGATCGCACCCATTTTCCCTGTCGTTGAGAGGTTGTTGAGGCCCCATCGGTGCGGGTGTTCAAGGATAGGCTGGACATCCACATGGTGGGCATGTCGTGAGCGGAGCCGGCTGGTGCCGGAGGTCAGACTAGATGGCCCGGGAGACCCCTTCTGACTCGCTCTGTTTTCTATGTTTCTATGTACGAGTGCGACTGCAATTGTGGCCATCTCCCCACTGAGTACACCTGCACTGGCTCAGAGCTTTTGTACTTGCTTGGAGATCGTTTTCTCTGAGCAAGTCTGAAAGCTCTGAGGTAGATGAGCATGGTGGGTCGTATCTGGCCCGTGGGCCATAGTGTGAGGATCCATGTTTTAGATGGTGAACACATTGTTACAACCTTAGTTGTAAGAACATTTAATGGAAGCAATTCTCATTGATTCCCTAGAAACTCCTTCTAGGGAGTTTCTTCTACCCATTTAAGTCATGCATACCCTGATCCTATGGACATATTCCTAGGAATACATCCTACTGAGTTTTGTGGGGCTTGTTCATAGGCAAATGTTTATGAGAATGCTGCTTTGGAATCCCTGCATTAGGATTTCTGCTGTTTAGTTGAATGAGGTCATATGAATTGACTATATTTCTTTGGAATGTAGGAAAAAGATGTCTCCATGTTTTAATTGTTTTCGCGTGGGGAAAAAATACTAGCCTACAATAACAAATTAGCACATTAGGGACAAAAGTTCTTTCCAATCTTATAGGGACAGTAATGCATACACAACCGTCTCCTTTATGTAAGGGGGTATACACCTTCCCTCTGCATGGTGAATAAATGGTAGGTGAAGCCACATGGACAAGGATGTAGGACCAGATATCTTCAATTCAGATTGGGCCCATGTTTTTCCTGAAAGAGAAGGTTAATCCTTCCTCATTTTCCCTACACATAATCTCCACAGAAGATGTTGGGAAAAGTCCAAATGAAACCTCAAATAAAAATATATGCTTTTGTCTTTTATGCTTATGTGTGTCCTTTCATATATAAAATCTGGCAGCAGTGCCCTTACTCCTCTCCACTCAAAGATACTAGAACTTTTTGACCAGCTCCATATGCCTCAGAAAGCAGGCAGCTCTGGGGAAACGGGGGGGGGGGGGCTCCATTATTCATGCATTTTCCTGCACAGTGACTCATACACGGGTCAGAGGCTACTCAATACAAAGTATTTGCTTTCTCACCTAGGGCCCTGAGTATTAGAGCCTGGCAGATCATGAACAGCTATGCACAATAGAGTTGAATAGCTACATATCTGCTATTCAACCAAGTGAATTAACATTCGGTCTAGGAATTAAAGACAGAATACAACTGGGTCACACAGTGGCATCTGCAATGCATTGTTGGCTCATGCTTAGCCTATTGTCCACAATTACTCCAAGATTGTTTTCTTTTTCAGTTCTGTTGAGTCACATATTCCTCATCTTGTATGAATGCATTTGGTTTCTATTTCCTAGGTGGAGAAATTGGTACTTGTCCTTATTGAATCTCATTCTGTTGCTTTCAGCTCAGTGTTCAAGATTATCAAGATTGTCCTGGATCTTCATTCTGCCTTCTAGGGTGTTTGCTATTCCACCCAGTTTTGCATCATCTGCAAATCTGATTTTCTTTCCTTGTACTTCCTCATCTAAATCATTAATAAAGAGGTTGAAGAGCACTGGGCCCAGGACTGAGCCCTGTGGCACCCCACTAGTTACCTCCATCCAATTTGAGAAGGTGCCATTGATGAGCACTCTCTGCCTAATTTAGCAGCCAAAGCTACCTAATAGTTTTTCCATCTAATCTAGTCTTTGCTAATTTGCTTATAAGAATGTCATGTGGCACTATGTCAAAAGCTTTGCTGAAGTCTAGGTAGATTATATTCACAATCTTCCCTCTGTCCATTTGGGAGGTTACCCAGTCAAAAACTGAAATTAAATTAGTCTGACAGGATTTATTTTCTATTAAGCAC